TTGTCTATGGGGTCGCGATGGGTCGGACAAGACTTCGCAATTAACAACAACAACAATGATAGCATCAAGTAAGGCATTAAAACATTTTTTAAATATCTGTGACTGATTCTGTTTTGTCTATTATTGACAGTTTTGGAAATTAAGGCACTATGGACACAATTACATCTCTATATTAATGGGTTTACACCTTGTTTGCTCTTTTTGCCAACAGTTGAGCATAGAAAACATTTAACTAATCAGTGTTAATTTATTCTCATTTCAGTTGAACCCCTCAGATTTAGTGTGGTCCTTCTCCTTGTTTACAAAAAATAGAAATAAATTATATTTCTCCCTCCTATTTTCCATGTAGATATGCTTGTATATTTGTGAACATTTGTCCTCCAGTTTGCCTAAATAAATAACCCAGAAGTATTTTGAAGGGAAGCAGTGCAACAGGGAAATCATTTGGTAAATTATATTGCACTGAAAATGGTTTAAAAAAAATCTTCATAGACACCCAGCAGCAAGGGTTTGTTCACATTGAAATTTATGTGATGACTTTTAATGTTGACATATCAGCAATGCTGCATTGGGCATCCTTTCCTAATCATGGCAGCACATTGTAGCATATTGCATCCAGTATTAGTTGCCATGAAATAAAAAGAGTTTAAGACTCTAGAAAGAGTGCAGAGAAGCACAACAAAGATGATTAGAGAGTTGGAGGCTAAAACATATGAAGAATGGTTCACGTAGGGGGGTCAACCTATTCTCCAAAGTACCTAAAGGCAGGATAAGAAGCAATGAATGGAAACTAATCAAGGAAAGAACTAAGCTAGGACTAAGGAGAAATTTTCGAACAATTAGAACTATCAATCAGTGGAATGGCTTGCCTTCAGAAGTTGTGAATGCTCTATCACTGGAAGTTTAAAAAAAGAGATTGGACAGCCATTTGTCTGTAATGATATAGGGCAGGGGTGTCAAACTGCGCTGGATGCGTCACGTGGAAGCCACACCCATCCCAACTCCAGCAAGGAGAAAAAAGTTGCGATATGCCGTGACACGTAATGGGATGCAGCGAGTTTGATACCCCTGGTATAGGGTTTCCTGCTTGAGTGGGGGATTGGACAAGAAGACCTCAAAGGTCCCTTCAAATTCTGTTATTCTGTATTCTACTATGCAGAAGGACTAGAAACCTGGAGGGTGGCTAGGCAAGAAACCCCACTGATAAAATATAGATGAAAGCTCCCTTTTATGACCTTTTAATCCCTTAATTCGGGGTAGAGATGGGGCAACTGAATGGAGCTGAGAGTTTACTGGCCAGATGCCCTTCCTGATGCCATGTGGAGTTCACAGTAAATATTTCTCCCTAGGAAAGGAACACCTGCTGCTACCCAGGATTGAACTCTTAGCCTTCTGAGTGGGAGGCAAGTGTCTTCATTACTAGGCCACCACATCACTTTGATGAAATATAGACTGTGCCTTGAAATTCCTGTGTTGGAAGCAAAATTAGAAAGATCCCTATCCCTTCAGGGAAACAATGGCACAGGTGCAAGGTTAGATCTTCTTCTAACAATATGTGTTGGTTTGGCTGCGTGTGTGTGTACATATGATTCCAATACAGGGATTTCACTGCCCTCCAGAAACCCCCCAGTACTAGCCACTACATGATGTCACATTTAAAACAGTGGTAGAATTCCTTGCCATGCCTGCCTCTCTAGTATATATCAGTTTCTTACTTCTCTGCCCACATGGCCAAAAATGCTTGGTTGCAGTCCATTTTGCAGAAGCCAGCTGGAAAGGAGCCTTCCTTTCCCAGTGCCTACAGCTTAATAAACCTTCTCCATTGTTACAAAGAGCAGCTTTAATGCATGGTGAAACCTGTGGTGCTCAGCGCTGAGGACAGCAGGAGATGATGCATTAAGCAGGCAGGAAATGCTCTCCCACTGAAACACCCACTTTCACACAGTTAATCTGTAGATAGAAAACTAAGTGATCCATCCACAAAGGAAATTAAAACAAGCAGCAGAGCCAGCCTCCTGAATATTTAACAGCCAGGAACACACTGTGAAGGGCACAGGGGCTGTCCAGCCACGGAGAGTGCATGGATACCGTTTCATCCTGGTTTTGCATTCAGAGGAGATGTTGGCAAGGGCTTAGAAGAGATTGCAAGGGGAGCTAAGCAGAAGATAGGAGGGGCTGTGCAATTCTGCAGATAAAGGATGGATTCATCTCTCTCTCTCTCTCTCTCTCTGTCTTTTTTTTTTTTTTTTTTTTTTGCCAAGGCATGACTTTTGTTAACTAACTGTTTGCTGGGTTTACATGTAATGTTGTGGGATAAAACATGGCTTGCAAACCACAGTAGCTGCTTCAAATGATGTACTAAATCAGCCGCCCCCAATCTGGATGCTCTAAAGAGTCATGAATTTCAACTCCCAACATTCCTGAACAAGCAGAATCATTTCTTAACATTCTGAAAAAAAAAAAAAGAACAGAAAGCAGCCAAGTTAGGGAAGACTGCCTACATCACAATCCAAGAATCCACATATTGACTCAATGCAGTGTGAATTCAGCCTGTAAAACATTTGTTAGAGGACATGAGTCACAGAATGACTAGCAAACATTGCTTATATTCAAGATTAGGGCAATGCGTGAATATGTCTATGCATGTTAAAGAGAGAGAAAAGGAGATAGCTGCTGTTTTAAATCTGAATTGGGCTTTCCTGACTGCTGTTTAGATTACTGGAGAGTCTGAGATAGTGTAAAAAAATATGGCAGGAACGCCCTTGTACAAATACCTTTTGGGCACCCTTTCCTGGATCAGGAGGTATTGCCCATTGTTGCTTATGCTCTTGCTTAATCACCTCCAGATTGGACTATTGCAATGTATAATTTAAATGATGAGCAATGTAATTTTATATTTATTGCACTAAATATAAATTTTATATTTAGTGCAATGCATGATCCAGTGGAAGATGTGAAATAGCAGGTCAGGGATAGGTCATCTTGGAGAAACCTGTCTATGTGATCACTGAGTCAATACCAACTTGATGGCATGTAAGCAATAATTTATTAAAGATCGACCCTATGTTATAGTTTGTTTAACAGTGGTTTGCTAGTAAGCTACAGTTACCAAGGTCATTCAAACCCATGATTTACAAAACCTAGATTCGTATAACACACCAAGCAAAATACTTTTTAGCTTAGCTTGATGCATAGACTTGTCCATAGTATATTATTACAGCCCAGCTGCTCCAAGTTCAGATAACTAAAGAAATCACTTTTCCAAAGGGCAGACCAGTCACTTTGCATTTAGAAACTTTTATTTGAAAGTGAGAAAGTGCTGCCACAAATCAGGCAGCAGACCTTCTTCACCTGAGCCCCTCTCAACAAGGTACTATCCCTCCGGCTTTTATAAATCTCTAACTCCACCATATTACAACAGTGCCAACCTGTCCAGCCAGGCACTAACTCCAACCACTCAATCAAATCACTGTTCTTCTTTGTGCTACTATACAACTTATTTTGTGGCATTCTAGCTGCTACCAATAAAGATAAATACTGAGATTTGGGGATTCTTAATTGATCAAGCTGACTATCTAACAGAGGGGAAAGAGCTGCTAGCAACAGTTAAATACTAAGGGTAAGACCACTAGTTTAAGAAGATATCTGTGGACTTGCAAGAAAAGACAGGAGTTTACTACATTGCCATAACCACATTATCAGGAATTGCAGGTTCCCTTAGCCCTGAGAGACAAGGAAGTACTCAGTAAATGGGAGCCCTGTCAGGAAAACCTTATGTTAAGCAAAGCAAAACCAAAAGACCAAAATCACACAAAAATTATACAAATGATTCCTAGAGCTACATCCTCCTCTTCTCCACCTATATTGCATGCAGTCTCAGAGCTAGTAAAGCAAACCAACTGTCAAGGATTTAAACTTTGGCAGCTACATGCCTCTGAGTTTCAACTTGCTTTAGAGTAAAGAGGGGGGAAGATGTTACTTTTAAGTGGGTTAGATGGAGAAATGAAACTTCTACAATTCAACTGAAGATTGTGAGAGTGTGAAGCCTTTTCAAGGACATCAGAACAGGTGTGGATTTGAAGCAGACAGTTCCCATAACAAAGTGAACTTGTGTATATGGACTACATAAGATGTTTATTGTTTAAGTATATGAATTGGTCTTGGAACCTCAGAGTTAGTTTTGATTCTATATAATCAAAATAAACAGTAAGATTTTCAGAGAGAGAATGAACCTGGAGTTTTATTTGGATTCTCGAGCTGGATATTGACACTAATATTGTCTGGGATTCCAACCCAGGGACAAAAGATTATTGACTTTCCTCTTCATGACTGGAGTCAAAGCATCAACCTTAAAGGACAAATCTGGCATGTGAGCCCATCCTGTGCCTATCTTCCTCCATCCTTAGGGAAAAAAAAACCCAGTAGAAGAGGGAACAGCACAATGAGATCTGAGGATCTAGAATATATTAATGTGCCCAATTTTCAACCACGTTCCTGTTTTTGGGAGAAGGGTAAACTAGCTATTTAGCCTTCAACTAAAAGAAAAGTTTGAAATCTGAAGCTAAGAGTGAAAGACACAAATATTTCTTGCTACTCTTTTCAGCCTGCATTTCACTATAGCCAGCAAGACTTAGGAGAAATTGGAGCCAATACTGGAAGACTCTGATTTCCACATAAAATTACATTGCTCATCATTTAAATTATACATCCTACTCAAGCAGTTCTAACTCAAGCATAATAAAAGATCAGCAGATGTGGGATTGCTTGCTGTATAATGTACTATACTATATCAAATAATAATGGTGCTATTTTTAAAAAAACTATCAAAGTACTCAGAATAGTTTATTGTTTAAAATGACGGGATACAATCTTCCACAAGAGGCTGTAAAAGCATTACTTTAAAAAATTCTGTCTATAAAATAGATTTTTGTGAAGCAAAGAAGTAAATTGTCAGCAAGGAGTTTCTGGTGCATCAACTTTAATGAGAGACATGGAAGACATATTGCCAAAGCGTTCTATGGTTGTCAAAAAGGGAAAGAAAGAAATGTCACATCAGCCTTGGGTGAACAATCACAAAGCTACAGTGAGCATCCAATTGACTTGGCCTTGTCAAGAAGCACAGCTGAAGAATGGATGGCTTCAAATCAGAGATGTCCTGATCCATTTGAATGAGTAATTAATTTCAGAAAGTAGGCTAATACTGAAAGATGCACTCGCTGATGGAAGCACTCTTTGTTCCTTCATCTAGAAGGATTTGAAGATAAATGTGACATACAGGATGCATTCAACAAACTCCTCTTCCTGTTCCAACAGTGTGGTTTCTTCCAAAGAACTGGGATGTATTGATCATATCCCAGAAAGCTAGTATTTTATGAAATGGTAAAATGATTTAAGGGAAGTCTCTGTTTTGTTTTTGCTACAGGATTTGCTCTGGGACTTGTTTCAGCATTAGGAATTTGAAAATGGTATAATTAGGTTTCCATCCCATTAGGTTTCCATCCCATTTCCATGATCTGGAAAACATTGGTTTTGAGTGCTTTCTGTCACTCCCATATTTGGTATTGCTGCATTTTGACTCTTCTTGGAAAGAAACAAGTTTCTGTATTCTTTTTGATGAACTTGAATGAAATATGTAGGAATAATGGTCTCTAAAGAGCTGGCAAATGTAATCTTGGAACTGAACAAAATCTTTCAGAGATCCTGAGGCATGGGGGAATCTCCAGAGGACTGGAAGCAAGCTGATGTGGTTCCAATCTTTAAAAAACAGGAAAAGCTGGATCCAGAAAACTACAGACCAATCAGCTTGACATCAATACTTGGAAAAATCCTGGAAAAGCTAATCAACCAGCGGGTTTGTGAGCACCTAGAAATGAACAAGGTAATTATTAGAAGCTAACATGGGTTTGTTAAAAACAGATCATGCCAGACAACCCCTTTTGCCTTCTTTGAGACAGTGACTAAATTAGTGTATCAGGTAAATGCTATGGATATACTGTTCTTGGAGTCCAGTAAGGCATTTGACAAGGTAGACCATAGCCTGCTTGGTAAGATAGAACAATGTGAGACATAGATTGGCAGTTGACTGACCAACCACACTCAGTGTGTAGTCATCAATGGAGCTAGGGAAGCATGCAGTGGGGTACTCAGGGTTCTGTATTGGGAATGTTCTTCAACATATTCATAAATGAACTAGATGAGGGATGGATCAAATCTGCAGACTATACCAAACTGGGGGAAATTACTAACACTTTGGAAGACAGGAGGATCTTGCTAGACTTGAGTACTGGGCCCTAGCCAACAAGATGCAGTTCAATGGTGAGAAAAGGAAAGTCCTGCACTTAGACATGAAAAACCAAATGCAAAGGTATAGAATAGGCAGCACCTAGCTCAACTGTAGTGAGAGAAATCTAGATCTCCTAGAGGACCACCACTGAAGTATGAGCCAATAGTGTGCTACAGCTGCCAAAAAAGCCAATGCAGTTCTAGACTGCATCAACTGAGGGATAGTATTAAGATCATGAGAAGTGATAGTACCATTTTACATTGCACTGGTAAGGCAATGTGTGGAATTTTGCATCCAGTTCTGATCACCACAACACAAAAAAGATGCTGGGACAGTATAACGAGTGCAGAGAAGAGCAACAAAGATGCTAAGAGGTCTGGAGACTAAATTGTAAGATGAACGGTTAAAGGAATTAGGTATGTCTAACTTAAGGATGAGGAGTATTAAAGGTGACATGATAGATGTTTTCTGGTACTTGAGGGGCACTCACAGGAATGAGGGAGTTGACTTGGTCTCCAAAGTGCCTAAGGGCAGGACAAGAAGAAGTGGCTAAAAACTCATTAAAGAGAGATCCAATGTGGAACTAACGAGAAATTTCCTGACAATGAGAACAATTAAACAGTGAAACAGCTTACCTCCAGGGTTGTGGGTGCTCTATCACTGGATATTTTCAAGTGAAGATTGGACAACCATATTTGTCTGGTAAGGTTTCCTACCTTGTGCAGAAGATTGGACTAAAAGACCTCCAAAGACCCCCTTCCAGCTCTGTGATTCTATACATCCTGGGCAGGACTGAAGACTAGAAAGTTTTGGTCCAGGCCACCTACAGTTTAATTTCAAAGATAAAAGAAAACTAGTTACTTTTAAAACATGCTTTGGAAAAATGGAATTCGCTCCACAGACAGTCGAACCTTTCTAGGAGATCAGTCCTGCCAAATTTCAGATTAATAAATCCAAGGATTTTGTCCAAGATTACCATTTTCAGTTTCAAGTGCTGGTGCTATAAAATTAAGTGGAATGAAAAACACTTCATTGAAACTCTGTCTCATTTATTTAAATGTATTTAAAATGTTGGCTGGACTGTCTTCTGGGGACAAAGTAATGTTACCTTTTCAGGTCATCATTTGTTAGAAATCAGCCAGACTAAAATTGTGAACAGAGACAATACACAGAGACCGGTTATACATACAACCAGTCTTCTGTTTCTTATTTAATCTGTAAGGTTGTAAGGAAGCATACCAGAAAACCAGAGAGCAAGACTGCATAACATGTACTAATATTTGCTAATATTTTCAACTCAGAAGGATTGTGCATGGATCAGCTGGCACAGGTATTTACAATCTTCCAGATGACAGCCTGCAAGGTTTCTTGCTTTTCAGTCTTTTGGCTAAGATCAAGTGTAACTCTGCATTCTTCTTAATAATGAAATTAGTATGTCTAGTTCTCTGACTAGTCCTTCCACTATCGTGGATAATTTTTCATTAATTTCCTTGAGTTATTTGCTCTACACACAGTCCTTTGCCTACTTTCCTTATCTTTTCTTTCTTCATGTTATCACTTAGACATAACCTGTACCTTACAAGCTGCTTTACTGTTTTTTGTTTTTTTTTGTTACTGTAGATAAGAGCTCCAGTAACCAGTGTGAACCTTTTTCACTCTTTTTTGCTCCTGTTGATCATTTCTGGTAATCTTTTCTAAGGCTGTCAATGTCCCAGTCTTTAACTGGATTATCCAGCAATAGGTGGATGACATCATTTACGGAATCTGTAACTCATAGAAAGAGAGCATTGTGATGGTAAAAGCTTGGTCCCTCCAAGCACATGGCAGCTGCATTCACTACCAGACCTATGAGATTCCCTCCCTCCACAAGAACTGCTTAAAGTGCCCTATAAGAAAACATAGGTAGCAAGCTAAATAGTATTAGTATGTAGGAATGACCTTGGGAGACTGGTGATGAGAGGCTCCCTTGAATCAGATCAAAGGTATCATAGCCCACAGTTGCATAGCGAGAACTGTATTTTTAGACTTGCAAGATTCTATTAATGTGGCTTTACAATAAAGTAGAATTAGCTTATCTGGCTGTGTTTCTTGTCTAGTCTACCTGGTAAGTCTGAGATTAATTCACCCTTAGTGGTAACAGGGAGAAGATTCAGTCAGAAACTTGTAGCCCAGTAATTAGTTTGTTAATATCCACTGACCATATCTCAGAGATAGCATGACCAGTGTTCTGACCTAGTAGGAAGGAATAAATAATAGTAAGGTCATATGGAAAAGTTTATCTAAAACATTCCAATGTCATGCTGTAATTTCTACTGTGCTGGCCTCTTTCTTTTGTCTTGTCTTTCAATGTAAGCTAATATATATAGATTCCCTTCAGGGATTCGAACCTGGGCAGCTTGCACGTTAGGCAGATGTATTACCTTTTTGAGCCACAGGTTCCCTCTTACTCCTGTCAGCAAGCTGCCCAGGTTCAAATCCCTGAAGGGTGTGACTAGCTGATGAGGGCAAATGAGCCTGAAATAGCTATAGTAGTCTCCCACTAACTCTTTGTCAGCCACAAAATTTTGAATTTATAGTGTTCACAGTATGTAAGGTCTGCCTGCAAAACATGCTCCTAGATTCCAGCTAAACGCAGAACAGACTGATTTATATTTGGTAGACCGGGTGCCTCACTCAACAGATAAGATATATATCCTCCCTGGTTTCTACTGACAGGAGTAAGGGGGAATTTGTGGCTCAAAAGGGTAATACAGCTGCCTAACATGCAAGCTGCCCAGGTTCGAATATCTGAAGGGTGTGACTAGCTGATGAGGGCAAATGAGCCTGAAATAGCTATACTAGTCTCCCACTAACTCTTTGTATGCATGCTGATAAAATTATGTTGCATCTTCAGTGTGATTTGGCTGCTTTAGATGAGCCAGGTATTGCCCACAATAGCATGTACATGCATACACCTCTTATTTAATTTTATCTTTTTAGAGATGGGTTGGAGACAATTCTTAGTAGTAGAATTTAGAATTCCCAAGCAGTAAGATAGCTCAGAATACTCAGATGAAGATTATTCTGAAATGGAAGTTTATCACAGGATGGGACTTTTTGAATAGCCATTTGTAGGGAAAATAACCCCTTTTTATACAGCACTACCAGGATTAAAAGGTAGAGCTGGAGGGGTAATACAAAATAATATAGCCATTTTGTGCTTATTATAGAACTGTTATAGTTTGCACTAATAAACATCATCAATTGTTGTTGAATTACAGCTCCCAACAATCTCAACCAATTCAGCCAGTGGCAAGGGGAACTAGGAAATGCACTTCGGTAACATCTAAATGGCTAGACATTTCCTAGACAGGAATTTGAAATATATCTGCAAATAATGATATAAGGTTGCAAAAGTTTGAAGCCAGGTATGTTTTACAGATGAATCCATGCACATTCCTACTTTGATCACTGCAGCAACTTCAACCTAAGGGTATGGCTGGCCCAAGTTTTCCTGCCTATTCCTTCTAGATAGCCTGCATTAAGATTACAATGGCCTCTGAACATTAAGCATGCTACTGAGGCATATGGAAATTTGGTCATCATGTTGAGGGAAGCTGCTAGGCTAATCTGTAATGCATTGTAAGGGTAGCTAAGGGTTTGTAAATTACTTTACAAGCGCCGGGATCCACAGAGGGATTAGATCAGACAAAGAAACAATCTGGTGCCATCTTGTCAAAAAAATTTTTTTTCTTCAGTGGTGCCTTAAGCTGCTTCTCTCCAGTGCACAGTCAAGCTGGAAATCAAGGCAGGGCAAAAAACCCCATTGCAGATTTAAACTCCAACCTTCTTCTAATCATGGTTATGGCCTGATGTTCTGTTTAGACTATGTTTACTATAGACCTGGATTCCCCCTGATTCTTTACAGGAAGGAAGGAAGAGAAGGAAGGAAGGAAGAGAAGGAAGGAAGGAAAGAAGGAAGTTTTAACAGTTTTACTGTAATTGGTTTAGAAGACAAAAATGACAGAATGCATGTCAATTCCCCCTGGTTGAAAAACAAAAAAGGAAAGACAATCCATCATTGTTGCACAGGACCATGAAGGAACTTGCTCATACTCTCCCACAGATAGATACAAAGCTCAGCATTTGCCCACTTGTAAAAAAAAATGGCAGTGGAGGGCAGCAGCCAGCTGGAATGGCAGAGGCTGGAGTTGAAATGAGGTGGCAAAGCAGACAATATGGCTTGAGCTAGACAAGATGGAGCGTAAAAATGGTGTAGAAGTTCTGTTAGCTTTTGGCTGAAGACAATCCATGCATTCCTACCTCTTGAGAAATGGGGGTGGCTTGTGCTCATGCTGGAATAAGTTGAAGTGTGGATCTGAGTGACTCACAGATCCATCTACGTGCAGCCAGCTATGATAGAATCATCTTGTTTGTCTGTTCAAGCAAAAATGAAAGACTCTTGTTTCATTTAAGGAATAATAATAACAGAAGTACTGAGTCGCACATGGTTACCCATTAGTCATGGCTCTGATAATTGTAAATGTTTAGTTTTTAAAATGTTGTCATGTCTTTCGTTTGTTCTCTGAAAATCGATTCATATAGAAATCCATCCATGAGTGACACCAAAATGTTCTCATTCATTTCACTGGGATTTCCATAAGAGGGAGGCAGTGTGCACTTGTACTCTTGTGTGCAAATGCTACCTAGACATCTTCTGCGGTTACCAAGTGATTAGCACTCCCATTTTTCTTTTTGCCCTTTGCAGCCATATGGCATTTCTGCGGTAGCATTGTTAGCAATGACGTTTCCAGCATCTCTGTCCAGACCTCTTAACCTTCTCTTTTAACTTGAACTGAAAGGGAAATGAGGGGGCAACAGCCTGGCTCCACTGACAGCTAATTAAAAAGCACATTTAGCATTCCTAGTTTCAAGACATCCACATCCCGCAGCGAGAAGCTTTGCTACACACCACAGCTAGTGTCTGCAGCACAGACTCACAGAGTTTTTGGAGCAAGCACATCGGAAGTGGAGGAACTGTTCAAGCTGGTAGTAACAGTCCCATCCCCAGTGATGGGGATAAAGTGCCACCAGGGAGGTTAGAAGAATTCCTCTCAGGAATGCCTGATCTGTTGGTTTCTACTGGGACTCATCCGCATGACGACCTCAGATTGCCAATCAGTTGTCTTCCTCTTCCTTCAACCCTTCCTGATCCTGATTTCCTTTCAAATTAACACAGTTGTGCTGACAACACCAGACAAGACCTAGTGGCTCTGGGTCTTGCCCCCCAAGGGTCATTCTGATGGTCCATCATTAGTCCTGGGGGGGGGAATTTACCTCCCTCGGTGCAGGCACGCAACTGGGGTGTCCTCCTGGACTCACAGCTAAATTTGGAACAACATCTATCGGCTGTGGCCAGAGGGACCTTTGCCCAGGTTCGCCTGGTGCACCAGTTGCGTCCTTATTTGGACCGGGAGGCTCTACTCATGGTTACTCATGCCCTTGTCACCTCAAGACTGGACTACTGTAATGCGCTCTACATGGGGCTACCCTTGAAGAGCGTTCGGAGGCTGCAGTTGGTTCAGAATGCAGCCGCGAGAGCGATTGTGGGTGCACCATGGTACACCCACGTGTCACCTATCCTCCGCAAGCTGCACTGGCTTCCTGTGGGTCTCCGGATGCAATTCACTGGCTTCCTGTGGGTCTCCGGATGCAATTCAAGGTGTTGGTTGTCATCTTTAAAGTCCTTCATGGCTTAGGACCAGGTTACTTACAGGACCATATACTGCCGTATAGTTCCCAGAGACCGGTGAGATCCCACAGATTGGGCCTCCTTCAAGTCTCGCTGGCCAAACAATGTCAGCTGGCGGGCCCTCGGGGAAGGGCCTTATCTGTGGTGGCTCCGACGTGGTGGAATCAACTTCCCCCCGAGATTTGAACTACTCCCACCTTGCCGGCCTTCAAGAAAGCTATTAAAACTCTTCTGTTCCGGCAGGCCTGGCGTTGATGTCCCCGGGAGGGGGTGCGGGATTCGATCGGGACATGCTGTGAGAATGTATTCATTTTTAATTGTTATACTTGTTGTTTTAATTTTGTACGCTGCCCCGAGTCCCTAGGGATTGGGAGGCATATAAATTTTACTAATAAATAAAATAAATAACTCACTCTTGCTATTCTTTTGCCTACAAAGCCCTGCATCCTTCACCATGCTCTAAGAGAAAAGGTGAAAAATGTTGGCAGGTATTGTTACAATTTTTGCACCAGAGCAATAGAGAAAATTTGGAAAGAGGATGGCCCAATATTTGCATCTTTGATACCTTTAAAAAAAATATTGACACTTTGGGGATAGGAAAATGTATCCTGATCCATTTTATTCTATATTCACATATTCTATGTGATTTTCAGAAAATTTGTGCTTCTTTCAATAAACAACTTGTTGGGTTTGCTTTCCCTAACAAAGCATGTTTGCCCAAACAATTTTCCTATTCTAATAGGAGCATGTCTGCATTTTATATCTAGTATATGCATCACTCAGTGTATATTTCTTGATGTGCTCTTGTCACAATATTTTAAAAAGTGTATGCAACAGATCTGGGAATGCTGCATCTCCATAACAGGGTCAAAGAACCTATGATCTGGATTGTTTGCATCTTTAGTCTTAATTGATAGCCCTCAGAGCCAGCCACGAGGAGACCACTAAAATATAGTGGCAAAT